TAAACATCCTGAATAATCCGGATACAATGGAAACGTTCATACGGATAAGTGCTGTATACAAAGACCAAGATATACTTGATGCTCCTTTTCGGCCAAAATGTGCCTGGCTCCATATATTTCCATACAAAAAGGCTGGTTGGTTTAAATTCTATTACTCGATCAATTTTTCACCAATCGAAATTTTGAACCGTAACTTCTGTTGGTCTTGACCAGTTCTATCGTTATTATGGCTTATTTTCCTAAAAAATATCAATACAAAGTTGGAATAACTGTCGAAAGACAAGGCATTTTTTTGTAGTCTTCAGTTAAAATGCACCATACTAAGCTTAGTATAAATTTGAGCCACAGTCCGTATCCGAAAATGCCGGATAATCCATTCTATAATTGACAACGTGCTTTGTCAGGTGATTATTAGCGCGCCATGGCAGGTGAAGCGCGGTACTTGGGACGGTCGACATTGATGGAAGTGCGGGCGGTGCTGGTTGCAGAGAAGCTCAAAACGTTCATCGGGGGTCTCCATTATGTGAGCAAGGCCGGCAAGGAGATGAGCATCGAGTGCTACGCAGATTCGTTCGTGTTGCGTGCATTGAACGATTCCCACTCCGTGTCGGCCGAGATCACGTTTGCATCTTCGTTTTTCACAGAGTACGTGCTTCCGTCCGAGCTACAACGACGCGTCGTGACGGATGCATCTCCCCTTGTCAAGTGCACGACGTTGGCGAGTACGCTCCTCAGCATCTTCAAGTCGACAAAGAACGTCATTTCGGTGGACATCGTGCTCGAGCTCGAAGGCCAGCCGTCAAACGAAGACATGTTTGATGCAACTATGATCGCGTTTCAACTCCATTGCGACCGCATGATCACCAAAACCCACCGCATTCGACTCACACAAAGCCAAACCATGCGACCTGTGTTTGACAAGGCCAACTCCCCGTCCCGGTATCTGTCCCGATGATGGCATTTAACCCCATCTCTTACATGTGTCTATAGAATAAAGCTGCGTCCGTTTCACTTGATGACATTGCTGCAGCATATTTACGGCACGGACGAAGTCGTCATGTCGTGTTCGTCGGCACAAATCAAGTTTGAAAGCTATTACACGAATCCATTGGATGGTAAGATAACATGTATAAATATATCCCATACAGCTGGTCGCTTTATCGAGTATTTTGTGATATATTGTAGTCAAGAACCACGTTCACACGGAAACCACCGTGGACAACTCCGAGTTCATATCGTGCGTGATCCAAGACCATGGTAGCACCAACGGTGACACAGACGAAAGCGAAATTCTCCAACTCATTTTCTGCTTGAAAGAAATCAAGGTTGTGTATAGCCTCACCTTCTTGCTCTAAAATGTAGAGTTACCGTAGGCGTTACTCGCGTTTTGTATCGCCAGTGCCCTGCCAGAGCTGAGTTTTTACTTTAGTCGCGGAGGAAGGTAGGGTGAAATCACCTCAATAGCTTGAACGTTATAACAAATACCCCCTAGTCCTGTATTATTCGCGGCAGAAGGGTCGACCTTTGGTGCTGAAATCGTGCTCTCCACCGTAACTACGTTTGTCACTGGGCCATCGCAAGCGACCAAGTATGTGATATTGTATTGGAGTGGGAATATCATTTCCAGCATGCTTGTAGCTCCCAAGAAGCCGAATACTCGCAACAGAAGCGGCGTCGGCAAGCCGAGTAATCGCTTCGATCATCTGGCTTTGGTTCACCACGACGACGACGCTATTGTTATTCAAGTCTTCTCCGATGTGATAAATAAGTTCGATTTTCGGTGGAGTAGACATCAAACCCCGGGCCTATTTGCAGGTTTTCATTTTAGAATGCCGTCCACAATGCGATCAAGATACAGGTTCCCTTGGCCCCCTTGCAATCTTTGCCCTTCCAGATGACTTAAACAGAGATTTGTAAACTGTATCCAACAGTCATGTGTTCTCAGAGTTCATGGAACGGCGTTGTCCCTCCTTGTCGGAATGGATGGCTGTCGCATGTCGAGACTTTCGGTGGACGGCGGCAGTTGATCTATCTGCTCGCCAAATGCGGTGGTGCCATCGGGATGACTGAACACGGCAAACAGTTTGGGCACAGACGGCAACGCGGCGGGCGTTTCAGTTGCCTACAATCCATAGGCATTGTCGTTAATCATATACCGTTACTAGACGATCGTATATCCAATTGAAAACGCACCTGACGGTACTCATTGCCACGTGGCAGCGGCAGGAGCGAGGGGGATTGGTAGTGGAATTCCCGGCACTGGAACGTCAAGCCCACCGCAACACACAGGCCCAGTAGAAGGGCTTCGTGGGTGGCGTCTACGAGCCACGAGTGCGACCCGCACACGCATAAGAACACGACGTCGAGCACGAACTTGGTCGCAAAGTAGATGGCGCAGACGCGCACAAAGCGGTGGAGGACGCGCCGCTTGGTGTCGATGGCGGTGGTAGTCGGGTCAATGCCGGCATCGTCGAGGGCCAGCCACGCGGAGAAGAGGACTCGCTGGCGCTTACTCGCCAACGATTGCATGCTAACATCACAACCATAACATGTCATGCAAAAACACTACGTTGGACCGTTCGTTGGTACGTGATCACGACGGCGGCCACAACGACGCCCGCAAGCACGGGGTTCCATCCGTAGTTGTCGTTGGCGTCGATCGCCGGAAACCCAATAAAAGGCAGCGCGAAGACGCACCTGTTGCCATATGAGATGGATTCTGGAGAGGAGAAATGTCACAGGCAACAACGTCAGGGGGGGCAGCGATGTACCCGCGAACGTTGAGCCATAACGTGCCAAACCCATCGGCAATTGTAAACACCACCGCGAGAAGAAGCCATAGGACGGCCCGTTGCAAAGCATCGGCGACGCGACCCCTGCCGCGGGCGATCAGTTCGTCCACGAGATGCGCTGGGTCGAACATTGAGCACACAACGGCATTGTGGGCCACCTACGGTCATATTTGTTTGACTTGTAGGTCGAACATGCTACGAACCTTGAGCACAGCCAGGAGCGTAAGGGGTAGGTGGATCCATAGACGAGGACCGCGACGGATGTGTCGCAACCAAAGTCCCACCAGCCACGTCCACACCAACGTGAGCGCGATGGTCACTCCTCGGTGCCACCCGTAGCTTTTCCCGGCGCAGTCCCCGGACACAGCATCGCAAATCCAGTAATCGAGCGTGACCTGAACCCCCACGGTGGCGTTTTGTACGATGTCACATACATCTAGGACGAAATGCGTTTGGATCGATGCCTGTGGGGAGGTGAAGAAGCGGCGACGAAGGGTTTCGAATTGGCTGGTGGGTTCCAGAATATCTTGCCTAGGAGAGACAAGCGTCTTGGTGACTTCCCCAGTTTTGAATCAAAGGCAAAGCGTACGTAGCGGGGGAGTCTGCAGGAACGCGAAACGCAAATGCAGTGCAATGTGTCCGCCAGGGGGCGGCGGGAGCGCAGAGGGTGTCCTTGGAGTTTGAGGTGATAGAGCCCATAGCGGCATCGTCGCAGATCAGTACGACCGGCACCGCATCCACCCGGGAAAAATATACGCGGGACTGGAACGATATCGCCATGGCCCCGCCAGTGGAGCTGGAAAACGCGTAGCTGGTCACGTGCTTCACGCGCTCATCTCCAAGGACAAAGTTCCACCGTTCCCACCACGACGAGGCATGGGCTGCCCCCGCGCACCACAAGAGGAGCACCGCCAGCAGCATTCCAATGGGACCTTCGCTTTGATGTTCACGACAATGCTAAATATACCACGGTTACGTGCTATAATAAGAAGGTCAAGGAAGCGCTGTATGGGGGGTATCTCAACTGTCACCTATGTGTTCCTTATTCACCTGCTAGTCGAGGAGCGACAGCTTCGACGGTATACTAAGGTTTGGCCGCCATCATAATGCCATCGTAGCTGTAAGAACCAAAGTCAACTCAAATTGCAACGAAAAGTTATTACAGTAGTTTTTTTAAGTACTAGGCAGCTGTAAACACGAATTGCTACCACATGCATACTGGAATGCAATCATTGGCTTCATTAGAATGAATTGGGCCAACCTTATTCCTTGTGCGAAAGAAACTTCATTGAAGAATAGTATTGTTATGGCTCTCGATGATTAAGGAGACCTTCGCACGGTTTACCCAACGACCGTGAGTTGTCTGGATGGGAGAACACTGTGGCCTTCATGATGATAGGCACTACAAGGGGTACAAGGGAAAGGGACGTCGCCTCGATCCCTTCCGGGGAGTTTGCAATTGGAACCACCTACGTGGCCACGTTTAGATGTAACCTCGTATATGACTTGCTTAATACCCTGGCCGACGGTCGAGGTCGAGGGGTGTAGGTCAATACATAACTAAAATGCCGGCAGCGAAAGGTGTAACCCATAAGGAGAAAAAACACCAGCTCAAGGCCTTCCACCATGGCATCCTCAGCGACTGTGGTAGTGGGGTGCACGAGGAAAAAGACCTATCTCACACATTAAATTTCACGTGTGTCGAACGTCCAAGTGACGAAGACGTACAATCTTGACACAGTACGTTTCGAGGAAGTACAAGACGGAGTACAGGCGTGCGGCCCGGAGGAGGCGAACTTTGGTGCCAAGGGGCGATGCATCGGGGTTCAATCCGGCTTGTTGCAAGGCGTACGCATATGTGTGAAGCTCATTCAGACGCTTGGTGGACAACGTGGTGATCCTGGTCAAGGTTATTGAAGGGGGAATATTATGGGGGGGGGCGTTATTCAAAGGGGCTTACATGAAGAGAATGCACAAGACCATCACAGCTGACAATATGGGATTCCACGAGTCCGCAGATTCGACCAGCGAATAGCCAAAATATAAGATGGCAAGGAGGAACCTATACATACGTTAGCACGCAAACCCCTGTGGAAACAAGTATCAAGACCGACTACCCTCGATCATGCACCCCAACAATGTCGCATCCATCCGACAAGCCAAACACCACGAGCATCATCAAGCACGTCACACCCAGCTGCATTATTTCGGCTAGCCGCAAGTACGCCAGGGTGGCGTCCATACGAGACACCAGAAACGCCAACGACGCTGTGCCAGTGGCAATCACCTTGATGCAAAAATATGTGATCGATACGAGGTGTACTACTGTATCCATACCTTGGTAGCCAGGGTGAGGGACATGATGACATGCAGCTTGAACACAGGCGCGCGACTTCGGTATGTATGACCTGCCCACACAATGCCAGCTAGGACCCACAGCACTGCGTACGTCGTGTAAATGACGACGAGCTGATTCATGTGGTTGCCGGCGCACTGGCGAGGGCTGGCGGCGTCACACATGGCGTAGCGCAAGGTAGCAGAGACTTGAGTGGTGCCGTCGTCTTCGCAGTCATCCGACGATGCACATGCAATGGAACATGCATCGATCAACATGTGGTGCATCCCTGCTGACGTCGACGGAATGTCGTCTGTGAGGTCAATCCTAGCAAACAAAATCGTCTCGGATGGGGCCGACCAGTTGCTACGAAGGGCCATGAATACCATCAAAGATATTCGTTGCATCCTACCTCTGCAATATGGAGCTTAGCGTCCCTAGCATGGGATACACTGTGCAGAGAGATTGCAGGAGAGTGGCCGATGATTTGCGACTGCGCTTCATACAAAGCGGCCAGCTCGCGTCAGGGTACCCCAAGGTCAGCATCGTTGAATATGCCGCAGCATCACATACTACCAAACCCACGCCGGCGGCCGACCCAGGATACACAACGGTTTGCAGCGACATAGCAAACGTTCCTCCGTTGGTGAAGTTGTAGCTCACCAGATGCACGATGGGCTTCCTCGTGATTTCAACTGCCTGCGTCTCCCAAATCGATGCCCCCAAAGCACCCCCACCAACGATGCTCAATAGAATCACCGCCAAGGTCGTCATGACCCCCATCTCTCAAGTTTGAAAGTGTGCAAATCTAAAATTATCTTGGCATTTACAGTTAGCTCAGTCCAAGCAGTACAATGTAACCAGCAAACAATGTGGCCATCACGGATGTCCAGTGGCCCTTGTCTTCGCGACAGTCTCCGATCAAAAAGGATTTCCATTACCGCGTCGACGTAATTAACAGTAAACTCAACACTGCACATTTACTTATAAGTTGCACGCAATAAACATACCACCTACACAAGTCTCAACTGCTCCACCCTATATCTAATAAGTGCTATACATTGTCGATGACACCACAATGGGCCTTCGTTGTATTACGGCCAATCTCTACACTTCAGCTCCATGAATCTCGTTTTCCGGCACGTTCCATGTCACGGCCAAGGTGGTGCCACACTCGCCTTCCACTCGAGTGACACTTAAATACGACAGCAACTGCCGCAACGCGGTCTGCATGTCTGCCTTGGTTGTCCACTTGGTGCGTTCCAACGGAACCAGCTGCTCCAGCAAGTTTCTTCGGACGTCCACCTGTGTAGTCAAGCACGACGACGGCTGGTATAGCGTCACGCGCAGAGGGAGTGCGGGGGTCGCTTCGGACGTGTCCAACACCGTCACCAGCACTTTTTCCCCCGCGACGGCGCAGAACGTCTTGTACAAACAGGGGGGAGTTGCGGGGGTCGCTGCTCTCTTCCCCGTCGACTCGTCGAGGATGACTGGAACCACCGCGGGGCTTGGGGGACTCACGACACTTTCCTTGACAAACAAGCGGCCAATGGAGGGCTTACCGCCAGCATCATCGCCTCCTGCCATCATCTCCAAGTCGATGAAATCAATCAAATGGTCGGCCAACGCCCGTTCATGACCGCATTGGAGCAAGACCACGTCCGATCCAATGGTTTCCATAAGTGTTGCTCCTCGCACCCACACTGACAGGGTTTGGCTCGTGGCAGCAAAGTACCCATCGATGCGGATGTGCACATGCAACGCTCGATCGCCAACTGCTTCGTCGGTGGTGGTTGATGGTAGTGATGTGAGATCGAAGGCGGTGAAAATGACGGCATGACCTCGAATTTGCTTGGCTTTGGACGTGATTTTTACCCCGCGCTTGTCCACTACCAACGTCAAAGTGAAATTTGTACACGAAAAGGGTAACCATAGAGTACCGTTGTCGATGAGCAGGTGGTTGTTGTGCAAGGTGTTGCCGTCCATGTTGGAATTGATCGGCGTCGCTTTGTACTCGGAGTACAGTCTCGACCGCACCAACGTAGCTGTAAAGGTGCCGTCGGGGTGAACCGTCCGATCCAATCGCGTGGTTATGACGTGGTTGAGCCACTCGGGTACAGTCTTGGATCCAATCAAATGGGCTTCGTCTGGCCCCGTCACCTAAACACAGTACAACTCATCTATGCAATCGACATCAAAAGTACCTCGCGCAGCTCGTGCATGCCATCGACGTGGACGATGCAATGTTGGCTGATCTCGGGGTGGTAAATATCCATAGACAGGAGGAACGAATCCACCGACGTGTGAATGTCCGGCAACCCTAAAAAAGCAACTAACGAATATGCCAAAAATACCACCATATTGTACCTGGTTTGTTGGGCAAGATCACTGGCTTTAAGTACGCTTTCATGGTGAGCGTCGCCATGAGCAACGTGCCGTTGCACCGGAACGATCCCGTGTGTAGTGTCGTAACCACATCGTAGAGCAAGCACAGCTTCGTCCCCCCTTCCCCGTCCAACATGCACACCGTGTTTGCCAGCAAGTCCAAGTCGTCGGACGTGATCGGTCGATTGAGGGGGGTGTTGTCCACAACAAGGGGCGTGGACGGCTTGGGGGAGTTTGTTTCCCCCTCCCCGACGACGGGGGACACACGAGTCGAGTACTTGACAAAGCATCCCGCGCTCTCCAAGCGCACGGCGTGCTGGGTCGTGTCATAAGTACACAGCAGAAAGATGGCGCGGATCGCTTGCAAACGGTCGGCGGCCGACTCCACGCACGTCCACGGCCACGTCACCATCGTCTGCACTTCGGCGTCGCAGAGTCCAATCACGTGCGTGTGGCTCATCAAAGGGAGGTACACGTAGACGTTGAGGCCGTAGATATCGTTTGGCAGCACGGCCAAGTCGACGTGGCAGATGGCCCGCACCGATCGACTTGATTTCGCCACGGCCTACTCGTGCAGCTTGAAGTTGGACAATGTAGCTATCTTTTGGGAGCGGTTGGTACCTCAGAGTACATGTCTGGAAAATACGGCAGCTGCACCACAACACAGTCGAGTTGTCTGTCGAGGGTGACATGGGCATCGGACACGCTTACTCGGTCGAGCAATGATTGGACCCACAGCGGAGACATCACAGGTCGAACCCTCCTTAGTAGCGTGGCCTTGCGTTGCTTGCACAACAGCACTTCGCGTCGTTCTCGCGACGACAGCATCATTTTCACGGACGCGCAAGTGTCGGGACGATATGCCTCCAGCCGCACCGCACCCGTCCACGTCATTTCAAATACACTGAGGATCCACTTGATCTGAAGAAAGAAACAATGAAACGTTTGAATCATCCTTCGTAAATTCGAGATCGTACGTTCGTCCGAGGGGTAAACACCACTTGGCGTCGAAGCAGCCGCCCCGATCCTCCATGTTCACGTATGCGCACCCTCAGGTCTGCTGGCAGCTCGACGGACTTGGGGGCTTTAGCGGTGAAGTGGTGGGCAAATGGAAGCGTTAGTTGCCGGTGCTCGATGTGGACGCGGTCCAGCACATAACGATACATGGTCTATATATCATGTCATGCATGTGAATCTACAATAATACGCAAGCCAACTATGTACAGTAGCTAGTACCTGAACGTCCATGGAATCGTATGCCGCCAATTCCACAGGGTCCGTCGCATTGAGTTTGAGCTTTTGGAACTCGTCGTCGTTGACATGCACCGTCCACGAAATCGTTTTCGAGCTAAACGAGTCATGCACATGTACGTCCAATTGCAAATGACCCATCGCCACCTCCGCCAGCGTAATCTACCACAAGTACATACAGTAATAATATATATATCATAAAAAGTACTCAAGTACATAATGATATATATCACGAAATAACTCAAGGTCAAAATGACGTGTAACTATCATGAAAGTATCCAAGTACATAATGCGACGTGTATCATAAAAGTACTCAAGTACATAATGATATGTATCGTGAATAGTGTATTACAGTGGCAAAGTGGCCGTGAATTTTCCGAGTCAGCCGACACAGACGCATGGCGCGAGGCCGTAGCTCCAGTTGCATCGACGGGTCTCGTCCCCGGGGCTTGGACAAGGCGCAGTACCCCACCACGCTCTTGTACAACTCTTTGGGATTGCGAGGGGGTTTCTTTTGCTGCAGCACTTCGAGGGAGTTCGGGGCCAGCAATATGTTCATCTACAGGTTATGTACGTCAGAACGAGAGACGAACCCTTCGGTTCATTTGGTCGTGATTTAGCCATACGTCAGCTTCGGGGATGTCGGCTTTCCACAGCATGGACGTCACAGGGTCGTAGCAACTCACGTACACGCGGTGGCAGTCTCGATACAGCGTGATAATGTGCAATCTGCCAAAGAGATTAGATTACTCGAAATCAACTAGACGGGCCTACTGATTGTTGATTTTCTTGGATTCGCGGTAGACGCGGACGTCTTCGAGGATGGCACACGCAAGCTTGGCCGAGATGTCCTTGTACAAGGGGTCGACTACGATAGACGATAGAAAACACATATATCAGCCTGTGATTTCATTCTGGTGGGTGGCGACGGACATGTGGACGGGTCGGTCACGGTAATGACACTACTGAAGAGGCCCGGGAGCGGCTTGGATCGACAGATGGGCACCGCACACCCCCCTCCTTCGTGGATGTGCAATGCAAAGCGGACCACAGCATGGGTATACAGCGCCAAGCGATGCATGAGACTTCCATGGCTCGTGTTCATGGCTGGCCAAGATGCATGCTCCAGGTACCTAATGCGTAAATACATGTATCAAGCAGATGGACGACGATTGGCACGTGAGCGCACGCACGTACTCCTTGAGCACCATGATGTTGTCCACAGGCAAACACGTCATGTTGACAGCTTGCAACTTGTCGGCAAACAGTTCTGGAGTGGCGAGGAGTCGGCGACTCAAGCGCCTAGAAACGAATCCATTTGCTTTTTTCAATAATATGTCTTGAAAGGTCGTATATCGCTTCAAAAAGATATAGACATTATAGAATAATTTCACATCATATTCTCATGTAGAAACAGACACAATGGGATGGATAGTACACTATATCTCAACGGACCATGTGACAGTAGAGGTAGCAGTGTCTGGGGCGTTGTAGCGTTGGGTGGGGGTTAGCAAGATCAAGATCGCTTCCATCACAAACACCAAGCCAAACGGCGGTCGGTCGTCCCAACTTGTCTGAATCATTTCATCAAACATGCGGCCGTCTGTCAGCACCGTGCGTCCGTCTGCGGCCAACTAGACACCACCATGAACATGTAAATCCTAAAAGCCACACAATGATTCAACCTGGGCGTGAATCTTGGCGTCCTTGTCCGCCATGGCAATCAAATCCGCCTCCGTCACCCCTAGCTCACGGGTATCGCCAAGCCCAGCGCGATTACTCAAATCGCCCTGAATCAAAATGCTCAACGGGCTCGGTCGCAACGCCTTGGCGATGATCGAGAATTGGCCCAGGAATTTGCGCTGTTGGCCGAGGCTGATGCCAATGTCGGCATCATACAAGACACTACAAAGATATATATATAAACCTACGTCTCGTCCATCTATCCTCACCTGTAGCCAGCATCGAATGTTTGCTGGATTGTCTGAATGTGCATGGCGTTGGGGGTGTTGATCCGAAGAAACAGCCCTGGAAACGTTGCCATGATGGTTTGAACCAGCAAGTGCTTGGCATAGCCTAGATACCCCATATGACGATAATCATCAGCAAAATGTATCTACATCTCAAGAAGACCTGGAACATCACGGGCCAAGACAATCAGCAGCGGGCGCGGGCGCTTCGGACAGTCTTGTATCAGAGACAAGGGCACGAACTGCCGCTGGCTGTGGTGGTCTTCCAAGTCGCACTGTATCACACATCAACACACGAATGCAACAGTCAAAAAACAACGAGAAATGCCACACCGCAATAGATTCGGCGCGGTCTTCGTAGGCATAGTCTTCTAAATTGAGCTCCAGCACGGGCGTCGGCGACAGAAACACATGCTGCACGTCGCTAATCGTCGCGAGGGCTTGGATCCATTGAAACAGCGTGGACGACGTCTTGGCCAACGCCCCTGTGATACAAGTCATCAGTATTTCCTACCCTAAATATCGAAATATTATGATCTTAACCTTGGGTGGCAAAATGCGGGAGTGTAAAGTGGCTGTCGTTTCGGTAGGCTTGGATCAACGCCAGTGTTTCACTCGACAGCGGCAGCAGCATCCGCCCTGCACTCGTCTACAACATGTCAGAGACCTCTCGTTCCAAAGCTACATATTCTGTATATGTATCGTACCGCCAAGGTGTGCAATGCGCGCAAGAGCGCTCCGGCGCGCCGGAGGAACTGACCGCCTTCCATCCACCGCACTTCATGAATCGGTTGGTCGTGTTTCCGTTTGTCCTTGGGGGAGAGGCAGCTACCCCACGTGCTTTTCAAGATGCGAATCAAGCCCAGCACAACGTGCGATGGCTTGACTGTGTATTTGCTCTCGGGGTGCTTGGCGTACGCACACAGCAGCCGACCCAGCTCGACCAGTTCGTCCGTGCACAAGTGTTCTGTGAGGTAAATCAGCCGCAGCTTGGCGTTGTGCAGCGCCCGAAAGTTGCGCATGCGCTGACGACCGAGCCGACCCCGGTACGTTTTCTGAATGACCACGGCCGCCTTGCGTTGTTTCTGGGCATGCCGTTCGAGTCGAGTGGCATTTCGAGCCAGTACTCCCCGAGCCAAGCATTGGATTTGAATCGCAGCTTTGCGACGATGAAATAGCTATACAATTATACATTGGTTTCAACAACATGGGGGATAAGAAGGGTGGGGAAATATACATCAATAGTGATCGCTTTGGACAGGGAGATACACAAGAAGGGGAACTATTCAACTGTCTAGATCGCTAACAACGTACGTACTTTGAAGACGCGGCGGCGGGCGAGAAACCCCCGAGCCAACGCCTCGATGTACGTGCTGGCAATCGTATACTTGATGCGGATGACCTTGTACTCGCGGCGCGCGAGGATGCCGCGGACGATCTTTTGAATATGCGTGGCCTTGTATATTTGCACGAGTTTGACCTTTTCCGCGACGACCTGCGCTTCGTCCATTTGCTTTTTCCGGAGGAGTTCGGCGACGCGCTACAAGTTCTCAATGCATGAGGATGGACAACGATATATGTATCATGCCATGAATGATATATATCATTTGGGTCGTACACCGTTCTCGACGGCCGACTTTTGCGCGGCCTTGAACGCTTCCATCGCTTCTTGTTTGCGATAGATTTCCCGCTTCTTGCGCTCAAACTCGACCACTTGTGTGTCCAAGTCTCGTCTGAGCATGGCTATCGTCGGCGAGTCCATGGCGCCACTCGGCAGCATTGGTGAATCGGAAGGTTCGGCTACAATAGTAACTGACTGTTGCTGCTTGGCTATGGCGTCCCGAAGCCCTGCAATGTGATCCCTACTCATAACATCCTTTAGTTCAACTCGTATTTATCGATTAGCTTGAGATATTTATATGACAAACTCGAGGTTTTTGTTGGCTACGATGGTCTTCTCCAGCTCTTCTTCCATCTTGGCGCCTCGCGATCGCATCATGGGCATTCGAATCCGGCCTTGCATGTCTAGAAATATTTGTTTCATGGCATGTTAGTTTTAGAATGTCAATGGGGTATATATATTAACCCCCGTACTGAGCTTGGTTGGCGGCGCGAGCATCCCCGCCTGCTTGATCGACCCGGTGAGCTTTTCATTCCCTTTCGACGGCACACTCGTTTCGTTGGCCGGCGACGCTGATCTCTATCCACACATACATCCACATGTCTAAGTACTGTGTGGAAACTGAATGGTCACCGTTAGCCGGGGCGACGACGTCGTAGCTGTGGATGATGTAGCTTCTCCTTCGCCAGGGGTGGCCGAAGAAACGACTCCAGCAGTCACGTGAGTCTGTCGAATGCTGGCCGTCTTGGCTTGCTGTAGCGCCACCGCCTCTACACACCCACAACATGTAATCGAATGCTTTATATGGTACTCTTACCAGGAACCAGTCGTCCGTACAAGTCACGCTTGAACCGTCCAAAGAGAGATTCTTCCTCCAGAAGACTCTTTTCCGCTTCCCGAATCCGCAGCACATCCAAGTCGCCAATCTGAGACGGGAGCACCACCGTCGTTTTGGCCTTGGTGGTTGGCGGGCGGGACGCTTGGAATCCCGCGGGCTTTGGTCGGGGAACCAAGTCTTCGTCGTTGAGAACTCTCGTTTCATACGCCGTCTTGGCTTTTCTACCAGCAGCCGTGGTGGGCGGCATTGGGTGGACAGGAGCCGCCGCCACGGGCAGCCCCCCAACCGACAGGAACAGATCGTCGATCGACGACGTGGTGGGGGTGCCAGGTCGTCTCGGCTCAAAGACCTGCCCGCGGGTGTCCAAGTTGTCTGGCATGACAAACGGGTTCCGATCCAGTGAAAATCCGAGCCACCGGACCATCACGTCGCACTGACATGCAGTTCTTTGCGTGAAAACCCTCGACAGTCAAGAAGGTGAACGTAGTACTACTACCTCTTGCATAAAATCCAAGTCGGACGGTACTTTTAGCAGGTAGTTGACGCCGTTCCATTTGAACGGCATGTGCTTTGGCTGGAGTTTGCGCCACGCAGCGATGGCTTCCACCACTTCCACAGTCGTCAGCCGAATCAGGTCCAGTGTGTTGGCCATCGACCCCACCAACGTGTACTGCGACTCTCGCTTTGACATGTCCAACAGCCTTGTCAAGTAATCTTCTCGCAGAATGATCGCTTTGAGCACCTCGAGTTCCTACATCGCAATCATCGTCAAAGCATGGCCTCTAGGTTATGCACAAGTGTTGTACCATGCCGCCGTTGCCAGGCATGTCCGATTCGAACGTGATGTTTCCACGATGCGCAGGGGCTTTTACAATGGACGCATCAGACTCTGAATGCTTCTACGTGGGTCCCACTGCGTTAGTTCAGTGGTTACGACGAGAAGAACGCACGTGATGGGGACATGGCGCTGTGGAGGTTGGTCGGTGGCCCTTCTTTGATGGACTCGATTTGGAAGGTCTACGGTATCATCTGTCACGCTATGGATATACTGGCCATGACGACGAATTGTACGAGATTTTCGGGGCCAGCCCGCCATGTTTGTCCTTGGTGGCGTCGTAAGGTGGAATCCGACGACTGTCGGCGACGTTGCCGCCATCAACCCACCCATTAGAAGGTGAGCCACCTGAAGACTTCTTGGAGCCTGAAGGGGGCACCTTGCCTCCCGGGCGGGGCAGCAGCGACATTACGGCGCAATTTTGGATTATTGAGCGTTACATTTGGTTGAAGGTGAAACGGCTGCTACTGTTGTCGAAATAGGGTCGTATCACAACTGTCGTCGCCCAATCATGTATAGTGTGACGTGCTCGTATTCTCAAGTGTACGGATCTGGCAATGGGATCACTCATTTGGAATCGCCAAACGGGCTACAGTACCGAGAACAAACACGCAGCCGCCAGGCATGAGCTACACCAACCCAAACGACTGCGGTTGTGGAGGTGTTGGTCTAGTATGACATGAGCTACGGTCGTCTATGTACGCAGCTAACTGTACAGTAGTCTCACATGACCTCGTCACTGTCCACACAGGTGGCGGTTTATGTGGGAGCAGCATGTTGGACGCATTCCATGACCCATTGGCATGAAGGTGAGGAGTTCCGTATCCGGACACAATCGTGCGTCGGGTCGCCTTTCGCAGTCAGTATACAAAACACAAGAGGAAAGGCGGATTTCATGACCCAATCAAATGTCAGGTATTCATATCCGGATGCAATGGAACGTTTTGGTTGGCCGTTGTTTGTTCCATGTCGAAGGTACGCTCAAAAGGGTGGAGCGGCGGTAGTTTGAAATTTGCGACCAAGGCCGTACGTTACAACTTCATGGAAGAAGTGACGATGGTTGATCGTGATGATGACGGTGTTTGGGATGTGTGTAGGACTCTTTGATGGGCAAATCAGACATCCAGGACATCAAGCTCCAAGTGAACGAGCCCAAGGACCCGTTCGAGGTCAAGCATGGCTACAACTACGACTATGTGTTCGTGTTCAAGGTGCACGATGAGACGGAGGAGTTGACGCAGATCCAAAAGGATCTGTCCATGCGCACCGTGCTCCAACGCTTGGCCAACGCCGGCTTGGAAACCAAGATGTACTACTCCACGTCCCGCGACTTGGTCTTTTGCAAGGTATCCATCTTACTTCGTCGGTCGTTACGTTTTTATCGTCGAGCACGTGCCCTCATGCGTCGGCTGTGGTAGATCCGCGCGTCGTTGGAACGTTTGTGCAAGGAAGCCGATCGCATCGATCTCAAGCTAGAATTCGACGCCGACGAACTCAAGCGTGTGGCGGAAGCGGGGTACCCAGACCGCGGCATCGCGCCTATTCGCATCAAGGACGACCCGACGTTGACGCACCGCAAGGCGTTTGACAACATCTTCGCCAAGTACGACATGGAACCTCGTTTGCAACCCGTGTACAAGAAATACGGCCACAAGAAGATTCCGTTCCGCGGCGTAGACCGCATCAAGCTGATCCTGAGCATCGTGGGGTCATCCACAACCGACGGCGGGTGCCACCTGAACGTGACGACATTGACCATCAAGAAGTGTTTGGTGACAGCGTACGCCCTCCACGACGAAGAAGAGCAGGCGTCGCTGACCAAGAAGTGGATCAACTGGGCCAGTCTGCCGTGGCAACAGCCGTACACCGAGATCAAAGACTACTACGGCGAGAAGGTCGGCCTGTACTTTGTCTGGCTGGGCCACTACACGACGTGGTTGATCGGGCCGTCCGTTGTGGGGATCGCCATGTTGGTGAACATCGTCATGGAACACACGCCGGACGCGCGGCTAATTTCCGTGTTTGGGCTGTTCATGGCGCTGTGGGGTACCGTGTACTTGGAGAGTTGGAAGCGCCGCAACTCGGTCATCAAGCTCGAATGGGGCATGGACGGGTTCGAGGAAGAGGAAGGCGACCGCGCCGAGTTTGACGGCGTCGAGGTCGAATCTCCCGTGGACGGCCGCCCCATGCGATACTTTAGCGCCAAGAAGAAGACCAGCCGCGTGTGTGCGTCCTTGGTATGATCACGTCAACGCCCCTTCCTTCTTCCACCTCCTCTTGCTGCTCATGATTTGGCGTTGACGTGTTGTTATTAGGTGTTTATCTTTGTGTTGATCTTGATGGTACTCGCCGCGGTGGCCGCGATCTTTGTATTTCGGTACTTTGCCCGCCCGGGAAAAGCACTGGAATCGTTTGTGACCATCTCCGGCGTCAACTTGAGCGTCCCCATTGGAGCTACATTGAACGCTGTGCAGATTCAAGTCATGAACGGCATCTACGGCACCATTGCCGTGCGCCTCAACAACTTTGGTATTGTGTTTCTTTTACCCCAAATTTGGTCGACTTTTGGGCTGATCCGTGCAATCTATCGATTGATTCTTTGAATCCTTTTTTTGTATGTCCAAAGTTGTCTTGTGGTGATTCGCATCACACTAATTTCTGGCACACACTAATTCGATGTTAGTGATGGTTTCCTGCAATCTGATTGGCTCAATATTCTTCTTCTGTCCATCATTTGGTTTTCATTCTCCATGTCGCGCCAGTTTAGAATATAAACACACCACAATATATATATATATATATATATATATAATATATCATTTATCCAAGGGAACGAACCCCGAAAGAAAGAAATAAAATCGATTGATCTATTGTGCTTTTGAGTGAAATTTCATTGTGTTGTGGCGTGGCTTCGCGTTGGAATTTAAATCGCTTTGATTGGCTACCTGCTCAAAATTATTAGCCAATCAAAACCCATTTCTCAATGAAATTCAACAACCAATCAGATCGATTGTGGATCGGTTTGGTCGATTCGATTGCACCCCCAAATTTGTACTATCAAATCGATTTGATTGGCTACCTACTCAAAATTATTAGCCAATCAAAACCCTCTCAATGAAATTCAACCAACCCGATCGATTGTGGATCGGTTTGGTCGATTACTATCAAATCGATTGATCTATTTTGACTGTATCTTTTGACTGGGTTGTGTTTGATAGAAAACCACCGCACCGAGACCGAGTACGAAGACAACTTGATCGCCAAAACGTTTTTGTTTCAGTTTGTCAACTCGTACGCGAGTCTGTTTTACATTGCGTTCATCAAGAATGCCATTCCTGACAACGCGTGCACGGACGTGGCCAAGGGCGGGTGCCTCTTTGACCTGATGTTCTCGCTCGGGATCATCTTTGGCCTCCGACTCACGTCAGGCAACTTCTTTGAAGCTGTGTTGCCGTACATCAAGCGAAAGCTCGCCGCGCGGTTCCGCAAGCCCGACACGTCCGAGGACGGCGTCCAGCGCCATGTGTCGGCCGCCGAAGAGCAAATGCACCTCGGCGCGTACGACAACATGGGCATCTTTGCCGACTACAACGAGATGATCATCCAGTTTGGGTACATCACGCTGTTCGTGGTGTCGTTTCCCCTGGCGCCGTTCCTGGCGTTGCTCAACAACTACTTTGAGATCCGCATCGACGCGTTCAAGCTGGCCAAGGAGTCGCGACGCCCGAATCCCCACGGCGCCGAAGACATTGGCACGTGGCAGACGATTTTGGAAATCATGGGCACCATCAGCGTCGTCACCAACGTCGCGGCCGTTGTGTTTGTGTCCAACCACACGTTCTCTGGCATGTCGTTCGAGTCGAAACTGTGGACGTTCATCGCCGTGGAGCACGTGATCCTGCTCTTCAAGTACGTGCTCTCGGTTGTGATCGACGATGTCCCCGAAGACGTCAAGCTCCAGCTGGACCGGAGCAAGTTCTTGAACGACAAGGTCGTGCACTTGATTCAAGATGACGACGACGCCGACTTGGTCAAGGGCAACAAGCTCAAGGTCGACCTGACTATCTTTGACGAAGACGTCTAACCCAAACTGCATTGTGATATCATGATGCGTGTACGTACAGTGAGTTATCAGCACGGATACAGTAGATAAACCAACATGAACGATTTGTACTTGTTGTAGTGGTGTCCAGGTCAGTATATATATATATGTATATATATATGGGAAGGGTCATGGAGTAAAATGCTCTTACGACAAACACTAACGTTACAGTTTTTGTACGGCATCGTTCTGTACTACTAGTACTATTAATAGTATTGTCCTTTTACCCCAAATTTGGTTGACTTTTGTGCGGATTCTTTGCCAAATCTATCGATCGATTCTTTGTACTGCCTTTTGTATGCACAGATCGTCCAGGATCACACTAATTTCAGTCACACACTAATTCGATGATCGTCGAAGAGTGGATAATTTGATTGGCCTCTCGATTCTTGTTCTGGGTTTTGATTAGTCAATCGATTGTCTGCCGATTTGATGTTGCTCATTGACTGTACTATCTGCACCAGTGGATGGATCGCTCTGTATCCTACTAGTATTGTCTTTCTTTGATCCCAAATTTAGTTGACCTTGGTGCTCTGATTCGCCAAATCTATCGATCGATTCTTTGTACTGCTGGCTGGCACAGATTGTCCAGTATCACACTAATTTCAGTCACACACTAATTCGATGATGAATATTCGTCGAAGAGTGGATAATTTGATTGGGTACTTGATTCGTGTTGTGGGTTTTGATTGGTCGTATATCAATTGACTGCCGAGTTGGTGATTCTGCTCATTCGTTTGAGCACCCAAACACTTCAATTTTGAATATATCGACTACCGTAGTTGGCAATATTAATAGTGCACCATATCCTCCCTCTTTGGAATAAGGTGGAGATTCTCAATGCGGTGGAAATGTGCTCTTATAACTTAGCGTAAACACGTAAGTTGGAAGCCGAGTAACGTTAGAAAGTCACGAGTGTATTATTTCGTCAGATCTTTCTGTGTGTCTAGTAGAGTTAGTAGTACATGGTTATGCCAGCAGCATCGAAAGCGACACGACGAGATCGCCGTCGCGATGGGCCACGTTGTGTTGGAGGTGTTGGCCGTCCGGCTTGGAGATCATCACGACAGGAATCGTCACGTGATGGCCGGCCCCGTCGTCCGACAAACTGTACAGCCGATGGGCGTTGGCGGCGGTGGTGGGCTTGGAGTTGACGGCGATCATGCCAATGCCCCCCATCTGCTGGATGTGCATGGCTTTGCGCGTAAACGAGCACTTGCCGCGCTTCACGAGCACAATTTTGCCTCTGATCGAACCCTCCTACGATCGATATATATATATATACATTCAAGTGGGTTTAGAATATTTCAGATACATTCATTATATAGTAGGTCTGTACCAGGGCAGACAAGTCGCGGCACGCCGTTTGAACGTCGTCCAACGCTGCATATAAGGCTCCGTCCACGCGGCCATTCTAACGACATTTCACCCATGTGATATTATCGTCCTACCAATCAACTGGACGACAGGTTCAAGAACGCACGAACCGACAACTTGTAGCCGAATTGAGCTGGCGAGGCCGACAACGTCTTGAGGTGCACGTCGCCGAGGCGGATGGTCACGGCGGCGTCCAAGTGGGCATTCTGCCAAGGAATAATATTATTCGATATGGTGCATTTCGCCCACATTTGCCAATTTCGGGGTTGATTGTAGAAATAATCACCAAGAAATCGAGTCAAGCAGTATTGTGAAGTATTTGGTACGAATTTCCAGACCCCTTCGAATCACGAATCATCGACTGCTATTGGCTCGTCCAATTTTGAGTGGATTTATTTAATTGGCTCTTACAAAAAGGGCAAGTATATTCAACCAATCAAATCACTCCAGCATGATTGAATATTGATCAGACAAACCACGCGAATGTTGCAAGTTTATAGCGAATATTCACAATATGATTGGATAAATTTTTTTAAAGGTTATAATAAATATACTAGTAATTGACTAAAATGAATGAAACATATTCGCACTTTTAGACTTTTATCATATACTACCGATTGTTGGGCGGTTCAGTCAACCAAGTGCCGCGGAGGGGAAACGATGAGCTCAACTCCAAATACAAGAACAAATACAGCAGGATATGTACCTTGGACGTGAGCGCCGAGTGTTGGGGTGCCGCACACGTGCGATGCTGATGCGCCTGTCGGACAAACTTGCGCCGCTTGGACGTGGCGTCTTGGTACAAGGATGGGACGATGGGGAACAAGTGGCCTTCCGTGGTAAACAGCACCTACACCACCCCAGTTTGAAATTGTGAAAACGGGATGGCTAGCTACAGCTAAAGTTGCGAGATTGATCCGTACATGAGACGCAGAAAGCGAGTTTTGGTTGGTCGCGTGCTTGGGAATGAGCACGCTCGTGTCGTTGCTGAAGAGCAAGTACAAGTACTTGACTGTTTCGCTCAAGAAGAAGCTGTCCATGCGATCCTCCAGTCGTTTATCGTGTACATTGCCCACCTATGATCATGGATCAATATCACACACTATATATTGAGAAAGAACGAAGCGGTAGGCAGGTTTAGTAGTAGTAGTACTAGTAGTAGTACTAGTAGTAGTAGTAGTACTAGTACCGCGGCATAACCACACGATACGCGCGACGTGTCTTCAATATCTTGGAGCAACTTGCGGCCGATTTTGAGGTACTTTTCGTCTTTTGTGGCTGCGTACAAGTGATATGTGCTTTCGGCTAATTCCGGGCGAAGGGGGTAGTGTTGCGCCCAGTGGATCACTGACCCTTTGCCCGACCTGTCGTAGAGCTCTGGCAGCGCCCCTAACCGTCCCTAGGTGGGCTATACAAGTACCAGTGAAGTAGCGTACCGAATTCGTTCCATAGGTCGAACAACTGGTGGTGGGACCGCACGGCGGCCGAGAGATCGCCCGCCAGCACTTGCAGCCCGGGCCAGAACGCTTGCAAAGCAGACACGCGGTTCGAATATATGTGCCCGAGACTCATGTCCACTTCGCGGTGGTACCCGTCGCGATGCAACAGGTGGGTTTCAATGCTCACATAACTTTTGTTGAACATGTCGAGAAAGTCGCTGTCCCCAGACAAAATGTAGTACTTGAGCAGGTACTCGTAGAACGAATCCAGCCCTGCACCGATGCCAGTGTGGGTGTGCACCCAGTCGCCCGTGTTGACATTGATGGTACTGCCGAGCAAATTCAGGTCCGACCGGCGATCCCACAGACCCAGCACTGCGTCTCGCGCCACTTCTTCAAAGTCAGGAATGTTGGACAGTCTACGTCAGAGGCCATGAATCGATATGAAACCACGGTAAAGTGAAGTACTTACCTGGATAGAACGGAAAACTCGAGCAGCAACGAGCCAGCAGCAGCAGGACACGTGAGTGCAGGTGCGTTTCGCATCATACCATGCTAAGCCCATATGTATGACGATATTGTAGTAGTAGGTAGTACTTAGGTACTCAATTTATGAAGGTAAGAAGTCGGTACCTACCATTAGGTTCACCCGATGGACGGGCAGACCAGTTTTGGTGTTGAAGGCAGGAAGCAACCTCGTGCCCAAGTCCACGGCCAAGTCGAGTAGTTCTCCTTGATATGCCAAGTGCATGGAGCCCACGGCGCTAGCATGATGCATCCATGAGACTAAGCTGGAGATCCGTAGTTGTGTACCCTGACGTTGCCAGCATATGCGCAGACAAGAGTCCGCCAATGACCCGAATGGTCGATTCAAAGACGGACACAGTCACATCTCGGTCGAACGACACCTACATGACACATCTGAGGTTGAAATTGTACGTTGAGTGGCGGTTACAGTGTGGATCACACGGGTGACGGCAGCCTCGAACTCCACGGCGTCCACAAGGGCCAGCATGGACAGCGAGTCTATGAGCTGCTTCGACGTGAGATGGCATTATATGATTTGAATTCACGGCTACCGTCAAGGCAAAGCCTCCCAACGCGTCGTCAAGGTCGCCGCGCTCCTTGCGGTCCCACCTTCGTCCTTCGCAGCTCAGTGGTTTGAGTTCGTCCCACGGGTATGCATGCGTCATGTAAGAGTTGTATCCATGAAAGAACATTTCCTTGGCCTTCTCCTGGAGGTGCTGCTTCTCCGTCCAATGCAGCGCGTTCGTGACAACACCGCCGATCGCCACCGCCGCCGCGGCGATGATGGCGCCCCAACTGCGCATATTTGAACTGTCAAGCAGTAAACTCAGGAAAAACGGCCAATAAGAACGACAACAGTGGTCGGTAGGGCTAGGGCACGAAGTGTAACAAAATTACACAAAGTTATATATATACCATATTTCGTTATATTCATGTGAACATTTATCCGTTCCCGCGACCCGCCTTTGTCGTGCGACCTCCCTCAATTGTCACTCACGTCACAAGTACTCCAATACAACTGCCAACTATCATAACTATGTAAGGCCCCCCAGACCCCAGTCACAACTCGCTTTCGCCGTCATTACAAGGAGTACAGTAACTACTACAGTAGTAGTACTGCCGTGATATGAAAAAAATATATTTATTCTAATTGTTGGCGTCGATCACGATTTTGAGCTTACTGGTTGGACGCTTGAATTTTATGAAGCTTCGTGTGATGCTCCGGAGAATTGTGTCACTGATATTGTGCATTTCACCCAAATTTGGACTTGTGAATCATTTCGTTAAATAGCATTCGAATCCATTTGATCCAATTTACTCTCCGGATTCGAATCGATTTGACAATAAGTTCACCCCGACTATTGCCAAAGTGGTTCTCCCCCGCAGCAGCTAACAACATTAATAGGCGGAGTCAATTTAGGGGGAAAAAATCAATTTTGTGCACTCGGTTGGATCGTCAATTCCATGGCGGCTCTGGTGGAACGACTTGGCAGCACCCATCGCAAGTGCTAAAGCCGCCACTTCGGTACTTGCGATGGGTGCCACCAAGACGGCTTGCGCCACCGCTCGCACAACCACTAGAGCACACGGCAGGGACGGTGTATAACACCGACACGGGCTGAATGGTAGACGAGAGGGATGACCACATGTTGGCGTTTGTCGAAGTGTTAGATTTGACAATTTTGAATTCGCAAGGCAGTTCACCTTGTGAATTCCAAAAACGAATAGACACATGAAAAATATAAATACAAACTTGAAGATTGATTTAATTGCAAATTATTACTGTACTAGTAATATTTATGGAAATCGCTACTTGCGAATTCCATACCACCTTGCTCTGGGAGAGGAGGGAAAAACTGGATTTTATTATATCTCTACGAATGGTACTGGTAAGTGATAAACTGCATTGAGTCGTGTGTTGAACAGGGGCTATTCATTTTCCAATGAAGTTTGGGCCAAATTTTCAACGGCTTACTAATCACTAGTTCAACTCACCAGACCTCAATCATTTGTTCATGCTTTCACATCAAGCCACAATATCGTCGTGCCGTTGATGGTTAGCTGATTCTACACCGACGAATGAACGCCTTCTTTATAACCGTACCGGTATATATTGCGTGTAGACTCATTGTTGCGTAGCCACGTACCATGGTATAGTCTTGTTAACCGTTTCGACGATTGAGATGTCTGAACAAAGCCTGTGCCAACTATTATCCGGATGTTTTATAGTATACGTATATGGTTGGAATGTACTAACCGTAAGTTTAACGTTAACGTTATCGTTTTTTCCAGATTCTTTTAATTTTCACTAAAGTTACAAAAATCAAGTTTATATGAACTACTATTACACTAGTAGTATGTACTAACTGTAAATGCACCAAAATTTGAAGTCAAATACTGGACCTTGCCTCTTTATATTTTGACATAATATACAGACACGACACAAAACCGACAATTTTTTATCGCGTGATTGGATAACTGACATAAAGTCGTCCTTTCATTGGTCAGAGTAGTTTCGGTTCCATCCATTGGTCGAGAATATTGTCGTGGCAGCAACATATCATTAACATGTAACATGTACGCAATTCGATTGGTTAGATGCAAATAGATTACCTAAAACCGATCTTTGACAGTTTTTCACTTGCCAAATGGACGCGATACCAACGAAGGAAGCGATCCAGGACGCATTCCACGGGACCTCGACCCGGCGTACGTACTCAACG